TTCCATTAAATTAGGAAAAGTTTTGGCCATTATCCTGTCTCTCCTATTTTTATGGGATTCACATTAAACATCTGATGGTCTCAAAGGTTTCTGAGGTTCTGTTCATTTTTCTTTTTTTTTTTTCCCCTTGTTCTTTGCACTAGATGATCTCTTTTTTGTTATCTTCATGTTTGCTGATCTTTTTTCTTTTGTCAGCTCAAATCTGCTCTTGAGCCCCTCTAGTCAGTTTTTCATTTTGGTTACTGTATTTTTCAACTGTAGAATTTCCATTCTTTTTTTTATAATTTCCATCTCTTTTATTGATATTTTTATTTGATAAGTCATTACTGTCATACTTTAATTCTTCAAACATATTTCCTTTAGTTTTCTGAAGTCTTTCTTTGTTAAATCCAACATTTGTCCTCCCCTCCCCAGAAAATACTCTATGTATTGAGTGCTCTTTTTCAATTGTACGGGTCGCTATTTTCTGTTCTTTAGATATGTTTGTTGCTGAATACTGTGGACATTTTAGGTGATATGTAGTAACAACTTTAGATTCTGATTGTCTCATCTCTCAGGAGTGGTGGTTATTGCTGTCTTTTTAGTGACTTCCTGTACTAGTTATGTGAAGTCTGTTTCCCTTGCAGTTTGTGGTTTCTGATATATCTACTCATTTTTTTTTCATTTTTTAAATTCTTGCATTTATTTTTAAGACTGATTTCCTAGGGTTTTCCACTGGGTCAGCATAAGTGGTCAGCCAACGATTAGCTAGAGGTTGTGCTTAAACACCTCATCATCTGAACTATGTCCCAGAAAACTCCTTTGTTGAAGTACTAATCCCTAGTATCTCAGAATGTGATTATATTTGAAGATAGGGTTTTTAAAGTGGTAATGAAGTTATAATGAGGTCATTAGGATGGGCCCTAATCTGACTGGTGTCCTTATAAGAACTTAGGACATAGACACATAAGGAAGAAGGACCATGTGAAGACACAGGGAAAAGACAGTCATCTGAAAGCCAAGGAGAGAAGCCTCAGAAGAAACTAACTCTTTAGACATCTTGATCTTGGACTTCTGGCCTCCAGAATTGTGAGAAAATAAATCTGTTGTTTAAGCCACATGGTTTGTGGCACTTTCTTATGGCAACCCTAGCAAAGTATTACATGTTTTCAGTCAGTAAGATTTCTTCCATTTCCCAATAAATCTGTGTAGCTTGAGAAATGTATTGAAAGTTTAGGTCATTTATAAGTCTGCCCCAGCTTTTACTTCAATTTTTAAAGGCCTCTTGTGCAGCCAGGGGTGAGTAGCTCACTAGGGCCTTCTCCAGTCTCCTTAGCATGTGTGTAGCTTTGCGTATATTTATATTCTTCCAGACCAAAAGGAATAAGTAGGATATTATCAAGGCCCACTGTGGCTGTCTTGCTATCTGAATCTCTCTGTTGAGTTTCTGGTTGGCGGCTGGTCAATTTCTTGCCCCAATAAGTATTGTGATCTTATTAGGCTAGGTGTGACATTGGCTTTATCTGTTTGTCACCTAGATCACTACAGTTTTAATAATACTCCTGGTCATGAAACTTACTATGCTCTGTTCCAAATAAAATTAGCCCTCTCAAGCAATAAGGCTGCTGGTCCTCACAATCTGACCCACTAAAGTAAACTTATGCATAATGGAAACTGGGGGGTGGTAGGAATGGGAGCAGCCCCAAGTTAACATGCCACAGATATCCACTGTTCTTACTGAGATCCAAATTTTCTTAAATAAACAATTCTCACTTTGTTGTATGCTTTGGTAAACTTTCTGAATCATTAAAAGGCTGTTTATTGACAACTTTGTCCAGTTTTATAATTTCTTTTTACAGAGAGTTACCATGTCCTCATTCAGCCATTCTGGAAGTCTTACTTTAGTCTCATAATTGCTTCTATATTTCAGTTAGTTGCTGATCAGAGTAGTCTTCCTTGACCATCCTATGTAAAATAATCTTTGCCTTATCTTCTTATTTTATCTTCTTTATTTTACTTCATAACATTTTTCACTTCTTGACATTATATATTTATTTGTTTACTGTCTTTCTCCCT